CGGACGCGCCTTCGCAAAGGGAGACGAGAGGAACGAAGCGGGGGGGTGGTGGGGGGCGGAAGTTCCGCGGCGGAAGGGCGAGGAGGAGCGGGAGGAAGGGGCAAGTGCGGTCCAAATTCAATTAAATGATTGCCACGTCGCCGCCCAAGGCCCCCACGAACAAACATCGAAGGATCAGGGTCGAGAGTGAGCAGCAACTCGGGGCCTTCTACGCCTGGGCCCTGAAACCTCCCACAGAACCTGATCTTCCTCCCGGGTCGTTCGGCGGCGAGCCCAGGGGAAAGTGTGTGTGTGTGTGTGTGTGTGTGTGTGTGTGTGGGGCTGGCTTTCTCAAGGGGCTCGGAAGTTCCCGGGCCCTATGAAATGTTTCCCGATCCTCCCCTGAAGACGAAGAACACCTCTCACGAGGCGCGAGGGCATCTGAGAAGCTTAGCTGCCCCGATACGCAACACGCAACACGTAGCGTATCGATACGGAGCTCAACACGTAGACTGAACACGCAGGTCTGACGCGATACGTTCGCCAACACGTGGGCCAATACGTTGAGCCAGCACGCAACGTATTGACACGGACGTTTTGAACACGGCACGCGTTGCGTAGCAAAGCGGGCGTATCGAGGTAGCTAAGCTGAGAAGCCCCGCCGCCTTCTGAGATGGCGCCCTCCCTCTCGCTTCCACCCCTCGCTCGCCGCCGATTCCATGCCTGGGCCCCGAGGCTTCCCCGTCGGCTGCGCGTGAGAGTGACACTGGGCGTGGTTGTCCTTTGGTGCGTGGGCCAAGGGGGCGCGCGGTGGTCAAATCCAGGCGCGCAGTCAACCGCAATCACATCGCGCTCGGCCATTGGGGGGGGGGGGGGCTGCGCCAGCGGCCACTCCGACGAGGGGTCACTCCTGCGCGTGCCCCGGGAGCCCGAGCTTCCTCCCGCGCCGTCCCCCCGGGGCCCCCGCAGGGGCAGTGCTCCGCCCCTGGGGCTGCCGCCCCCAGGGGCCCCCTCCGCCGAAGCTCCTGCGCCCGCCGTCTGTCGTTTGGGCGCGCGATGATCGGCGGCGAGCGAAGGGGGGCTGATGATGATGATGATGATGATGATGAGGAGGAGGAGGAGGAGGAGGAGGAGGAGGAGGAGGAGGAGGAGGAGGAGGGGGAGGAGGAGGAGGAGGAGGAGGAGGAACTCAACGGAGTTCGGGGGGGGGAACGATGCCTTTAAAACCCTTTGAAGGCCGAAAGCTCGCCAGGCTCATCCAGTCTGGCGCCGGGAGCAGGGGGCCGCAGACGCGAGACAGCCTCCCAGAAGGCGCGAGGGGGTTCCGAGAGGTCCCGCCGCCTTCTGAGAGAGCCTTCTCCTTCTCATATCCCCCCCGCGCTCGGTCGCCGCCGAGATCAGGGTGCGAGGGCCTCGGGGGGCCATGTCGACGTATGTTGACGCTTTGTGGGCGGGGCGCGGTCGGCGACGGCGACCGAGGATGGGCCGAAGGGGCAAGGTGGAAGGTCGCTCATTTGTACTATGCGGATCGACTGTAGGGCATCGACTGCAGAGTTGACTGGCCCCGGGATTGTTTGGCTCGTCGAAACTAGAAAAGATGGGTCGAAACTTCGGAGATCTACGAAGGTCCTGCGTGTTTGTTGCGTGGAGTCGACGAGAAATACAAGTGTCGGGGCGCGTGCATTCTGCAGTCGATCACCTGCTCGAGCCTGGGGGGCCAGGGGGTCCACGGCCCCCCTCCGGGGCCGTAGCGCGCCGGCTGCTGCGCCCTTTTCCTAGGCGGCCTCCGCCGGCTTGATGTCGCCCTGCTTTGAGCGAGCCTTGGAGCGAGCATCCTCGCGCTGCAGCTGCTCTTGCTGCGCCTCGTGTTTATGACGTGCGGCTTCGGCGCCGCGTCTGGCCATCTCTTCGGCGCGCAGGTCATGCAAGCTCTCGGCGCTCTCGCGCCCGCTCCTCGTTCCGACGAACCCCGCGCCATCGAGCCTCGCTCTTAGGAGAAGAAGCCGGCGTGAACATGAACTTCCAGAGCTCTGCGCGGATTTCTCGCTGGACCCCGTTCTGCGGCGCGCGGAGCGCGCCGGGGGCTGCGCCGGAGGCGCCGCCGGGGGGGCCCAACGCCGACCCAAGAAAGCCGCGCGCCGTGGGCCCCTCGTCCTGGCCGCGGCTCGGGCGGCCCGTTCTTCTCGGGCTTCTCCTCGGCGCCGCTGCGCCTCTCGCGTGCGCCTCTGCCCCTCCTCCTCTCCGGATTCCTTCGCCGCGCCCGCTGCGGCCCTGGCCTTCCCTTCCTGGCGCGCGCGGCAGTGCTTGCGGCGCGAGCCGACGTGGCCCTGGCAACGTGCCTCGTTTCCTTCAGCGTGGCCAGAACGTGGTTTCGGACGCGAGGCGCTCCCGCGCGCCCCGGTCGCGACGTGCCCCCTGGACGTGGCCGCCGCAATAGTGGCTGGGGCTGCAGCCGCGGCGGCGGCGGCGCCCTGAGGAACGGCTGCCGACTGCCCACCCTCCGCCGGTCTACCCCCGAGCGCCAGGGCGTCAGATCGTGGGGCCTTGGACTGTTCAGCGATATCGCCTCGCCGACCTCGGCTCGTTCGCGAGTGTCAGCTGGCGCCGCGGCCTGAGCCATAGCGCTGCGGGCCTTGGCCGCCTCGGCGGCCTCCTCGGCGCGTGCGTGGGGAGCCTCTCGAACCATCGCCGCCTCGGTCCTCGTCTCTCTGACAGGGGCGGCCGCGGCGCGAAGGGCCCTCTGCGCCCTGCGGTCATCATCCCCCCCTCTTCTCGCCGGTCTGAGCTCTGCGGGGCTGGGCCTGGCCCTGGGCCCGGGCGGCCTCGCAGAACGGCGCCATCTGCCGAACCTCCTGTTGCAGGATCTCCGCCCTTTCATGTTCCTCATGTCGTGTATAGTCAAGCTTCTGCTTCTCAGCGGCCTACCGCAGAGCGTTCCTGAATGCAGAACATGGCCTTCTCCTCCGGGAGGCATTCACCAAAGGAGACTGCAGTGGGCGCCGTGGCTCTCCGCCTGAGCTGAGCTGAGCAAGCCGTGGTCCCAGCAGCGCTCAGCGATCGAGATCCTGTTTGACTGCAAATGCCGCCGAAACTCTTGGCAATTGGGGGTCGATCCGCAACCTCGTCCTCTAAGATCTACCCGGTGTATGCGGCGATGGCCTTTCGGTCGGCATTGCCCTGCTCCTGGAGGGCGTCGTTTCGCGGACGGGCCACGGAACAGTCGGCACCCCCCAAGCCGTGCCCGGAGCGCAACCTGGCATGGCTGCAGTGGCTCCAGGACCCATGCTCCCAGCACCTGTGCATGCCCCAGTCCCCATGGCCATGCTCCCAGCGTCTGCGTATGTTCCCGGCCTCGGAACCGAGCTCACAATGCCCTCGTCCAGAACGTCAGGGGCCACGCGCCCAACCGGGTCCGACATTGGGTGGTCGGCATGAGCGGGAACAGCGGTCCGGGCGGCTTTCGGCCTCTTAGCCCCCGCGCTCTACATTCCAAAAATGTTCTTGCCTTCGCCTCGCGGCCGCAGCCTGCCAACTCGAGGGCGGAGTCTCTCAGCTCGGGCATGCTGCGTGTGATCGTCTGGGATGTCGCCCAATTGCTGGCTGACAGATGTCGGAGTTGGCCGCACCGAGATGGTCGATGGCGGGCATCGTCTCCGCGGGCAGGCCAGTGCCGCGGGCGAGAAGTGCAAGACCTTAGGCGTCGGCGAAAGTATCGGCAGGAACCGAGCTCGCACTCAGCACGGTATCCTCTCCGCAGGCATGGGCGGAACCCTCGCTCGGCGCATTGATCTTACTGCTGGCGGGGTCGCGCCCTAACTCAGATTTCCATTGTCTCGGTCGGCGGAGGCGCGCCCGCATTCGACATCGAACGTGCGTCATCCTCGCCGTCAGACAAGGTACAAATCCCGAAGATACCAGGATTCCCCCCGGCGCGTCAGGCCTGTGGGCCATCGGCCATGGGAGGACACAGTGACGATCTTTACCTCTAAATTTGAAAAGCAGTTTCTTGTGGGCCACGTAGTTTTTGACGTGTCGGGACGTTCTGACTACTTGACAATTGCCCATGGCGAACTTCGGCTGATACCCAATCATTTACCCAAATAGATTCGTTATCCGTCGTATCCGGCGTCGTTGTAATTATCTCCTTGAACTCCTAGCTCAGATGCATCGTTAAACATACCGCTTCCGCCACCGATCTTGCTGAAACCGACCAGCGGAACCTCACCCTGGTTGATCAATATGACAACCCGTGTCCGTTAAGCGATCATGCAATCAGAGAAATTCGCGGGCACGCGCGCGAACCTGCATCACGCAGCCGCTCGCGCTCTTGATTATACATGAAATTGCGGCGGCCAGGTCCTGTCAAAGCAAGCAGGCGGCGGCAGCTAAAAACGACTGGGGAAGCGGATAATGATGATTCCTGCTGCTCCTCCTCCTCCTCCTCCTCCTCCTCTCTTGTTCCTGCTCCTCCTCCTTTTCCTCTTCCTCAGCTCCTCCTCCACATTCTCATTCTGTTCGTGTTCGCCCTTCTCCTCCTCCTCCTCCTGCTCCTCCTCCTCCTCCTCCTCCTCCTCCTCATCCCCCTCCTCCTCCTCCTTTTCCCTCCTCTTTATCACCATCAGCATCGTCACAAACACCAGCAACGTCAAGACCAACATCACATCCTCATCACCACCACCACCATCACCATCACCATCACCATCACCATCACCATCACCATCACCATCACCATCACCATCATCATCATCATCATCATCATCATCATCATCATCATCATCATCATCATCATCATCATCATCATCATCATCATCATCATCATCATCATCATCATCATCATCATCATCATCATCATCATCATCATCATCATCATCATCAGCATCAACATCAACATCATCATCATCATCGTCGCACTTTCGCCATTCCGTCTTCTCCTCCTCCAGCCCCATCCTCCGCTCCTCTTCCTCGCACCCATACAAGGTACCCTCGCCGCACGCTGGCACAAAGCGAACTAAGCGCGACGCTCCACGTTGAACCAATCGTTATCGTTCTCCTGCGCCGCCGCGAGACGAATAATGGACAGGCGCCGGGCCAGCCGGTGCAGAGGGAAGAGGAGGCGGAGGAGGCGCCGCCGCACTTCACGCTTTCATCCTCTCGCAATCGTTTGCGTCCGTTCCTATATGGGTTCGAAACGCAACAGCTTCGGCGCTTCTTATGGCCAACGTTGAAAGAGGGAGGAAAGAGGAGGAAGGAGAAGCCCCCTCTGCACACTCCGGGCCCTTTCCTGCCCTGTCCCCCAGTCCCCCCCCATTCTGCTCGCTCTGCCTCGCCCGTCCTCCTCTTGCTACTGCAGCTGCTCGACCTCCTCGTTTCTGCTGCTCCTCCTCCTCCTCCTCCTCCTCCTCCGCCTTCTCCTCTTCCTCGACCTTTCAACTCCTCGTCCTCTCCCGAGCGCTCCCGATCCTCCTCCTGTCCTCCTCCTTCTCCTCCTCCTTCTCCTCCTCCTCCGCCTACCCACCTCAGCCTTGTCCTCGTCCTCCTCCCCCCTCCCCAGGCTGTCCCCGATGCCCTCGCCCTCGGGCCTTCCAATACAGCCGAAATATGGCCGCAAGACCATGGGTCAAGGAACGAAGCCTCTTCGCGGAAGGAATCAGGCCTCCATGGAAACGTCCGCGACGAAACGTTCCAAGATGGGCAACCCGAGCGCGCGAAGAACACGAGAGCGCCCCTCCAAAGCTGGGGCTGCTCTTAACCTTTGTGCCAGCATCACCTCTCGGCATCCTCCTCGGTCCCGTCCTCGTCATCCCCTTCCCTCCTCCGCGAAAGAGAAGCAGACCACGAGGGCGGCGAGAACGGCGAGGAGCAGCAAAACGGTGAAGATCGGGGCGCGGACGGGGAGGGCCAGGACGGGAGAGCGAGAGAGAGAGAGAGAGAAAGAAGGATAGATATGATAGAGGGAGGCAGAGGGAGAGAAACACAGAAGGAGAGAGAGAGAGAGAGAGGCACACACACAACAGAGAGGAAGGTGATCGTTTTTTTATTCATTGTTTTGCTGATCGGCGCGGGCCCTCGCACCCCCCCCCATGGAGCAGATCTTGGGTGTTTTCGGCGTCTGTTTCGAGCTGGTGGAGTCTCCCCCGTCGGACGCACTGTTGCAAACAATCGCATTAAGCAGAGGTCCAGAACCAGCCTCCCCCCCTCCCCCCCCCCTTCCGCACAATGTCGGAAGTCCGACTAAGAAAACGCTCACAAGGGAGGGGGGATAAGACAAGTCTACGTTGACAGAACAATCAGAACGAACGACAATTGTGCTGCTGGCACACGGTTACTCCCAGCCAAGCGAATCATATCACCATGTCTAGAAGGGCCCTGTCGTGTCGTCCCAAAGCCGTTGCACCTTGTCGTGTAAGCAGGGAATATGAGCCCATGCGCCTCAAAACACACGCAACCTCACTGAATCCCTTCTCCATGTCACAAACAAACACAATCATAACCAGGGGATGCGTCGATCATGTTTCTCGGGCGAGTCGTATGCAAACGTAAGCAACAGCGCAATGTGCTTCAAAAGTGGCACGCTGTCATCATAATCGAAAGACCTGCCGGGGAAAAGACAATGGGGTGCTCGCCTTGGATGATATTTTGTTGCGCCGTGCTCGGGCCAGCGCGCGTCGTCGGACCATGATGAAACACAATTGAAGAACCCACGCGGCTCAAAATAAACGCAACCTCTGCCGACCCTTCGGCGCGTATCGGCGCGTGTGAAACGCTGTCGTCGTCTTCGTCGCCAAGTCAATGACATTGAAGAGCCATTGAAGAGCGAAGAAAGAACATGGAGGTCCTGAGGCGTTAAGAACCCATGTGTTTTCACGCTTGTCCCGTTCTGGGGTGTTGGGAACCATCTCCTTTCACGCTTGTCCCCCTCTGGGGCGTTCGGACCCACATGTTCTCACGCTTGTCCCGCCCTGAGGCGTTAGGAACCCAAGTGTCTTCACGCTTGTCCAGCTCTGGGGCGTTAGGATCATAAGTGTTTTCACGCTTGTCCCGCTCTGGAGCGTTAGGAACCCATGTGTTTTCATGCTTGTCCCGCTCTGAGGCGTTACCACCAACGTGTTTTTCACGCTTGTCCCGCTCTGGGGCTTTTCTGAAACCATGTGTTTTTCACGCTTGTCCCGCAACCTACTGTGTTTCACGCTTGTCCCGCTCTGGGGTGTTGGGAACCGAAATGTTTTCAAGCTTGTCCCGCTCTTGGGCGTTGGAAGCCCAAATGCTTTCACGCTTGTCCCGCTCTGGGGCGTTAGGAGCCCACCTGCTTTCCACGCTTGTCCCGCTCTGGGGCGTTAGGAGCCCACGTGTTGTCACGCTTGTCCCGCTCGGAGGTATTTAGAACCCAGGTGTTTTCACGCGCTTCCGCATTCCCAGAAACACCAGGGCACCCTGGGGCGCCCAGGCCCATCGAGTCCTGCAAAAAACAAGCCTTTCGCTCGAGACATTTTCGCTCTCTTTCCTGCGCAGGGCAGGCCATCCTAGAGCGGGCACGCAAAAAAGTCAACATGGCTCATTTTCTGCAAAATCTTGGGGCCTCCAGACCTCGTCATTCATTGCGGATTCTGCGCTAAGAGCTTCGCAGCTTGATTTCACTAGGGGACACGGGCGTCCGCAGACCCGTTATGGATCGAGGACCCCGACATGGGGGACACACACTTTCCTCGAGCGAACATGCGCGAAACGCATTCAAACAACAAAATGAAGCTGTACCTTTTCTTGAATCGAGCGGAAGCCCGCCGGCCATCTTCGAACATGGCACTGGGAACCCTGTACACAACCAAAAGAAAACCCTGGACCCGAGCACTTTCCAGGGACAAAAAAGCTCCATGGAGTAGGCGAGGACCGAGGTCCGAGACGGGAATCGATCCCAAAGGGAGCGCAAAAAGGGGCCCGTCACCGCATGGCTTTGGGACTTTGGAGGCCCCAGCCGCCCGAGACGTCTTCGGAGAGCGGCCCAGATCCCACAACTGTGGGGTCACTCCAGCAACCCACCGACTCACCCCAAGGTGTGGTCACCACGCCGCCCAGGGGCCCCCCGAGCTGGGCGGTGGCCAGCCTCGGTTCTGCAGGAGAGCCCGGCGGAGGCGGGGGCACCAGCTCCACACCCGGCGATACTGCAACGACGGGCCTGGTGGTCCTGACGCGATCGCGCTCCGTGACTGTTTTGTGGTTGCTTTCGCCTGACGATCGACCGCCAACAATCCCCAGCTGTGGAGAAGAGGCTGATCTGGAACCGGAGCCGGTCGCGCCGGTCGCGCCGGTCGCGCCGGTTGCGCCGGTCGCGCCGGTCGCGCCGGTCGCGCCGGTCGCGCCAGTCGCGCCGGTTGCGCCGGCTGCGCCGGTCGCGCCGGTTGCGCCGGTCGCGCCGGTCGCGCCGGTCGCGCCGGTCGCGCCGGTCGCGCCGGCTGCGCCAGCTGCGCCGGTCGCGCCGGTTGCGCCGGTTGCGCCGGTCGCGCCGGTCGCGCCGGTCGCGCTGGTTGCGCCGGCTGCGCCGGCTGCGCCAGCGGCGCCGGCTGCGCCAGCGGCGCGTCGATTGTGATATCAACACAGACATCACAGTCGTCATGTCGCTCTCCCGTCGTGTCCCGTGGGTGGTGTCATGATCTCGTGGCGTGGCGTGGCGTGGTGTGGGGTACGGTGTGATGTGGCGTGATGTTGTGTGGCGTGGTGTGTGGTGTGGTGTGTGCGTGTGTGTGGTGTGGTGTGGTGTGTTGTGTGTGTGTGTGTGTGTGCGTGTGTGTGTGCGGTGCGGTGTGGTGCGGTGCGGTGCGGTGCGGTGCGGCGTGGTGTAGTGTGTAAGTGAGGTCGGTTGCGACACCATCACAGAGATCGCACTTGCCATGTAGGTGCCCCATGGGAGGTGTCATGAGGACGTGATGTCGTGATGTCGTGCCTTTCTGCGGGGGGGATGCCCGGGCAGACTCCTGCCGGCCTTAGTCAAAATGAAGAACACGAGAGGCCGCGGGGGCAGGAATGGAGGAGGGGGAAAGGAGGGCCGAGAGCGAGGATACCACATCAGGAGCAACCTTTTTGACATCGGATCTCGAATGTGTGCGTCGCGAGCTACGCCTCGTAGTCGCCGACGCATCGCCGGGCCGGCCCGTCGGCTGCGCCGGCGCGCACCGCCGCGGGAGGAGCAAGAGGAAACGATGCGGTACTGCGTGCGGAAGTCGCATGCAGAAGGCGCTGGAAAAGTCCCCGGCCGCACCCCGCCCTGCAGCGGATGGCGCGCGGAAGCGTCGAGTAAACAGAAAAACTGCGTCAGCAGCCCGGGTGTGCGTGCAACCCCGGGTGCCTTTCTGCGAACGCAGCGGCGGGGAAAACGACATGCTTGAGCAGCTCGGGCGTGCGTGTAATCCCGAGTGCCTTTCTGCGGGAGCATGCCCGTGGAGACTTCTGCCGGCCCTCGTCAAAATTAAACGCGAGAGGCCGCGGGGGCAGGAATGGAGGAGGGGGAAAGGAGGGCCGAGAGCGAGGAAACCACATTAGGAGCAACCTTTTTGACATCGGATCTCGAATGTGTGCGTCGCGAGCTACGCCTCGTAGTCGCCGACGCCTCGTAGTCGCCGACTCGAAGATAGAACAAGAAGGAGAGAGGTAAATCAACGTACACCTCACAACAATGCCGTGACCCCCCAACATATCGTGGCCAACGATTGTGAAAACCGCTCTTACCAATCTCATCAGGGCGAGGCATGCAAGATATTTGAGGCACCAGACGGTATCGATACCGATGCTTCATGGCCCTCTCCTGGGGTGCCTTCTGACCAGACTCCCGAGGCGAATCCAGCGGTGGCGACGAGGGCCTCCCAGGAGGCCCAACGAGGCGCAAACGAGGCAAGGGTAGCGGTATGTGTGTCTGGAGAACCTGGGGCGGATCGGGAAAGGAGACGCTGCCATGAGCTCTCGGTGGCACGGAGGGCGTGGCCCTGCAGGTAGGGGTGACCTTTGGTGTGCAGCTTGGGGGGGGGGCTGCGGGGGAGGGAGGGGGCCAGATCCAAGCGCGTG